GCAAACCTTTGATAGATCCAGCCCATAGACAGGTATCAGGTATTGCAGGCTAACAAAGAACCCAAACGACCCCTATTCCTAAGGGGCGGACCTGTTAGTCCGGTTCAACTTGCATCTTTTCTAAACAGAAACAAGGCTTTGTTTTTGATCCACTCTACATAGAATCAAACTCAATGCTATTCTTGATATTTTGAATTCAAAAAGCTTCCAGGATGGGAAGCGAAACGTCTTCAAACTTGGCGGCAAAGTCCAGTCGATTGTTTTTTAACCTTTTGTGAAATCATAGTTGAAATCTTCTTGAGACTGTTCTAATCATTTTTTTCAATTAAAAGTAAATGAATTGTCAAATTTCAGTTTATGTTGGTACATTTTAATATTTTATATATTGTTATTGTGGATTAAAAAGGTTTGAGTGGATTGCTGGACATTTTTACACAACATTCATTTTTAGACATCCCAAATTTATGGAAAAATTGTGCTGCAGATTTTTTTGTGCATACACATGCTTTATATTTATGAGAGCCCTGATGTTCTTGACAACACCCACAAAGATTATAATACTTCACAGCATACTTAAGTGTAAGGTTAGGAGTTTAAACAAGAATTGGAACAAATACACAATGGTATTTTCTGGTTTGCTTTATACCTAAAATTTTGAAAAACTTTTGTAAGCAAAAGTATAACATGACATTAAGCACCATTCTTACAGAAAACATTGCAATAAAGTACAATGAGCTTTAATAAACAAATTAGAGATTGATTTTTTTCATCTTTATTTATTTATTTCTCACCTGCAGACTCGATGTGATGCAACTAAAATACGTGGTCCGGTTAGAACCGTACCCAATACCACGATACATGAACGACCTCATCCAGCTGCTGAAAAAACCTTCTACTTCGAATGAGAAAAGGTGAAATAAAGAGAGTTTCTACTACAAAACAGGTTCTGATGCAAATATACTCTGTTAAACATGTTTTTTGTTTTTGAAGACGGTTGTTGGAGAGTCCTTTCTGTTGGGAGAATTATACAGAAAAGTTCCAGGTGTTGCTGTATCTGGAGGAACGTCAGATGGAGTGTGATATCAGAAGATACAACATTCCCAATGAAGACAGAGAATATGCAGTGCTAAAAAGAGACACAAACAACCGGAAGCTTCTTGTTTTAGAGGTAGGAATGTGCTCTTGTCATTCAAATTAGATATAATTGTAGAATATTTCTGTTGACAGCTACAGTAATAACTGAATAAGAGTGAGAAAAAAATCTGATCATATTTTGTAATAAAATATTACAACCGAACAGAGCCCTGTAACATCGGTTAATATTGCTGTTGTTGTTTGTTGTCAATTTTTCATATTTATTTAAATGTAGTGTTTGACTCTAGTATTTACTAGAATTAAGAAAGAAAACATTTGCAACATAATTCAAACTCCTTTTACTTTGACAGGCCTATCTTTGATAGACGGTTTAAGGACAGTTCACCACTGGATCCAGCAACAAAATCATTTTTACACAATCATTTTTCACTTTTACAGATGATGTCCAATAATGCTTTCACTAAAAGCTGCACACAAAGCAAACAAGACACTTGAGTATGCCGTCAAAAGTTTAGATGTGTCTCCACTGTTTTAAAAAGCGCTGAAGTAAAAGTCTTATCTGAGTCTTGAAGGTAGGAGAGATAGCACTGCCCCGTTTTTTTTTTTTTAGACTCAGCTTCTTTAATACAGAAATAAGAAACAACTAAGAAAACAAAGAAAACAATTACATTAAAGCAGCACAATTCAGAATATTATGATGCCACTTTTGGGCAAAAAACTTATTTGAGTGAACATTTAAATTTTGTAATTTACTGTCAAATAGTAACTTGCAATAACAATTTGCAGCTGGCAGCAGCTTTAATAAGGGCTGTTGTGCAACTTTAATACATTTATTACCCACGCCAGTAGGGATGGTAAATATTTTATTATACGGACTGTCATATATTGTTTAAGAACACACGCCCTTCTGGCTGTGTGTTAGGAATAGAAATGAAAGTGTAAATCGAGGTCAAATCATCGTCAAACAGATAATTCTGGGCATATATGAAATAAATTCACCACAACTTCCATTCAAAATATAAGAGGTTATTAGGTCTGGGCATATACACATCCAACACACGTCGGACTGAGTGCAGAGAGTTGGCGTTGGTCGAACACATCAATCTGGAAGAAGAAGAGCTCCCCTGTTCGCACATGCACGGGGAATGTGGTTCTGTTAAATTGGCTCAAAGATGCGTGTAGCCTAGTAAACTAGCCCCACCCACCAGCGGCCAAAATCATTTTTGCCTGCTAGTGGTCTAGCCTCGATCAATGCCCCAGGCCCTAGAACTGGCGGGCCAATTACAACGCAGAGATGTGTTTTGATTTTTGGATGCAAAGCGGGCGGGGTTTTGAGGGTGGGACGACAGAGCTGCACGATGCTGGAGAAAGCACAACAAGGAAGATGGCAACAATTACTGAACAGTTCTCATTTGACTCGGCTTTGGTATCAGTTTTGGAAGGATTAGACTTGGGGTTTTCGTTGAAATGTGAGCAGGAAGAGGCTCAACGCTCATTCATTTTCAAGAAGGACGTATTTGCCGTTATACCAAAAGGCTGTTTGTTTACACTGCCCCACCAGCTTTCTGTCGTGCTTACTACATCATAGTCAGTTGCGCTCATTGGTCAGAGTGTTGGCCAATAGGCCCAGACATGGTTTTAAAAACAACGGCTTGTTCTCATCAACAATCTTCCGATGTCTCATTCATTGGGGCCGGACTAAATTACACATTTAATCCCACATTTAGTCTGGTTTATCAGGTTTTGTAGTTCTGGTTCAACAGCAGGATTTGCTCACAAACACCCCACAAGGGCCGACTGGATTTCACACATATTTGATTTTCTCCCGACATTACAGTTTTGATGAATGGGAGGTGGTTGTGAGAGGCTGATCGGCCCTCATTACCCCCTGTATACTACACGACTCAGGACGCACAATGAGGCTGAAACTCAGTCCAATCCAAAAAATTCTCACACAAATGGAGAATCCGACGAAAAATGGCCAAAACTCTAACATTATATGCCAGGCCTAACAAATTTCATTTGAAAACTCTTGATTATAACTAATTAAACAAAACTAGACTAAGCTACTCTATACAAAGAAGAAGGAAAATACAATTAAAACCACTAATCAATGAGATAATGCAATAATATCACAATTTAGAATGAATTTTCTGCATGAGAACCAAAGTTTGAAGAATTTGTGTGGTCAAATTAGCTAATAACCAATTTAGAGCAATTGGAATATTTTCAAACCAATTCAAAATGTTTAACTGGAGAATCTGTCCCTAAAAATACCAGACCTGCAAATCTCTGCTCATCCCTTTTGAAGGCTTGAGTTTTCCACCAGTAGTTAGTATAGCAGCAGGGCACACACATACAGTAAGCGGTTCTTTTGTTCAACCTGCCACACATTAGAGGAAGGGCTTCCTTGTTCCTATGGCTCCAACCTCCAGTCAACATCTGAACATGCTGAAAACTAAGAGAGAAATGATGCAAAAGGTCTGTTTTGCAGCAAGCTGGTTCTGAAATGTCAACCATAACAACTTAGCCTAGGTGATTCTGAAGATCTGGAACCTTGAGACTGGTGTTTCCACGAGGATTTTGTCTTCCATTGTGAACTACAGGGCAGATTCACGGAAAGAGAAAGAGCTCCTGTGTGGTGGGATATTTCTGTCTTCAAACACTATGGGGGGCCAAGACACACCTCTGTGGTAGTTGTCTTGTAGAGTGAGTTGAGTTGTAGAAGCTTTGAGATAAGAGCAGCACTGTGGGGCCAAACTGCATCCTCCCAACCCCAGTGACCATGTTAAGATAAAACATGGACATTGCTCCTCAATGTCAAAAATAATTATCATGGTAATGGCACAACAGGACAATTAGCCAACGCTGACACTTTAAACATGCAAATGGTCGCTTATAACTTGATTAACTTAATATTTTTAAATGAAATGTAAGAAAACAGCTAATTCTGATTTTACAGTAATAATATACATATTTGCAAGAATATTATATGCCACTTTTTTTACGATTTAAAGCAGAAAGGTTGTTGAAAATCTGTTAAAGTGGAGTGTGTCATTTCTTTTAATTCACTCTCCAGGTACCTGGTGTCTCTGAGAACCGACCCTCTGTGCTGCGGGGGGATTCGCTGCTTATGTACCCGCAGGGAGAAAAGGGGGTGAAATACCGTGGATATGTTCATGGTGTGCAGCTGGACAGCATCAGACTGGGCTTTTGCCAAAAGTAAGACTGAGACACCACAGCAAGAGCAGTAACAACAAAAGGCACACAGTCCCTCATCTGGAAACAAAGCTTTTACAAATATTTTTGTCTCTTCTTTTGTCACAGATTTCTAGATCTATATGTCAAAGACTTCAGCTTTATTGAAGGAATAAAGTTCAATGTTGAGTTTACCATCAATCGTCTACTTGTGCATCTCCAGCACAGAGCTGCAGAACTTGCAAGGAGCCATAAACTGAGGAGTGTGTTGTTTCCTGTTGAACCCACTTTCTCATGTGGAAAACCTGACCTCCCCAAACTCAAGTAAGAATTTATATATCTCACTGTAGTTCTCATCAGACACAAGATTTTACTTTTGTGGCCTCAAGATTCAACGTTTTCAATACTGCATTGAAATAATAATAAATCTAGGTTATGATTAATCTATATAATATCAGACACTAAGGAACCTTTTTTATAGACACTAAACTGGATGGGTAGACTTGGAGTGTCATGATTTGCACATGTAAGCTCTGGAGCCTGCAGTTGCTATGAATGGAGAGCAGTGCTTGGCAAATCAAATAATATAAAATCTCAATGTTTAACCCAGCAACAAAGAGGGAATGCTTTCAAAATAGAACAAATCTGAAACAAAATGATCACAATAAAAATCTGGATTTAAATGAATTGTCTGTGGGATAAAGAACCAGAAGCAAACTCAGTTTTGTGCTGGTTAAACAGTATCATAAGCAAATAAGAAAACTCTTAACAAAGTGCTGAGACTGGTTGAGCAAATCCACAGTAACAGCAGAGACCTTGTTGAATTAAACATATATCAAACTTGGGAGAATGTTTTTCACCTCGAGGTGAGAATGATCTGCTAGTACAAACTATGGCCCAGGATATGAAAAACAATCCTTGAGAATGAGGTCAGGCTGCTTTTCTTATACTTAACCTGGAAGTCTCCTCAACACAATTCCTTTCCTTTTCTGTTTTCCTGTAGACTGTTTGATTACCAGCTGGAGAAAAACCCTGAGCAGTATCAAGCTGTTCAGCACATTGTAGCTGGGTCATCCAGACCTGCTCCCTATCTTGTGTTTGGTCCACCGGGAACAGGTAAAGTAGACCCAGAATACA